TCATTAATTTATGTTTCTAGTTTTACTATCTGAAACAAAAAGAAATTAACTCTTTTAGTATGTATGTAATGCCATGTTGGTTGTGTTTAAAGCACCATCGACTCATGCGTACTTCACAGACACAGACATTAGCATACTACTTTCCTGCTCAGTCTTCTCTCAGTTGTTTTGAGGAGGAATAGTTTGCAGAGGATGTTCCCGCTCTTCTTCTCCTCCTCCTCCTCTGAGGTCTGGCTGGGAGAAGCAAGGGTTTGTGGGAAATGCTGGAGTCGAGAGATGAGCACTAGTATGCGCTGAACTTTAAGCAGCGCTTTATTTTCCTACTTTGACCGGCGATGTGTGAACTTTACCGGCGCGTTTGAGCTCGCGTCTCCGTCGAGATGTTCGTGAACGCGCCGTGTGAGAGCTGGAGGTTTGCGCTATGGACGTGTACGTGAAATCTGCAGGTAAACAAAGACACTAGTGAAAGTTTGATTACTGCACGCGACGCGACGCCACACATCAGAACGCAACGCGCGCTTTATACTCGATGATGGTGTGAATAGTTGACGCGCATGGGTTATTCAAACAAACAACTTCGGTTATTTTAATGGGAGCGTTGCGGTCTATTGTGACGGGACGCGTCGCGTGCAGGGTACACGTTGGAGTGAAATGTTTTAATGTTTCTCTCTTTGGTAAGTTACATTGCGTCTTCCTTAACGCAGAAACTAACTCCTTTTTTCATTTAAAAACACGTTGTTTTTTTGGTCAAACGTTTATCAGAGATGTACACAACGCGCATACTTGAATATTTGGAGTATCATCACTACTATCTATTATTATTATTAGATACTCTTGTTGTGTCTGGCCATGGCACAGTGAATTGTACACACACACACACACACACACACTTCACTTGTCCAATAAGTTGTGAATAGGAACACGTCAGTCTACGCTTTTTAGACATCATGCACTTGTGCACTAATGCCTAGTTGCAATGTTTAACCACTGCTGAGGCGTTGTGTGTGTGTGATATTAACCTGATATCAAGGGTGTAAACTACCCAGGAAAAATGTGAGGATATGAGACCCTCTGCCTGGACATCTTGCTTGTTTTCACACCTGTATTGATGTGTGCTGTGTGATGTTTTGATGGACTGGTGTAGTGTGGAAACAGATGTTTCGATGATCTGTTTATGACTGCCTCCCTGTGGAGAAACACTAGACTTACAACACCTTCAATATCACAAACACTTCTCTTTTACTTTTCACTAGATAAGAGCACATTCAGAGTGTGTGCAGTTACGCTGTAGAGCAAAACGATAGAGTTCGGTGAATTATTGCTTCAGACATTATTTTTTTTTTTTTTTTTTTCAGTTTTAATAATCAAGTTAATATTTTATTTTGCCATGTTTTTGCTCTTATAAATTTCATGGTAATATTATTATATATTTCAGTGCTTGACTTTAAGATTATTATTTACTGATGTTTATTTGCTCATTTGAGAATGGGGATGACAAAAACATAACTTAATACACAGCATAAACTTCTTTTTAAAGATTTAAATAAAATACTGCTTGTATCATGTCTGGGCAATATTGTGTAGCTTGTGTAACTACCTGGCAACATTATGGAAATATATTTATAACAATAACAAGAGAAAGGCATTTTAAATGCATAAATAGTTTGCCTTTGTCGAGTTTTTCTACCTCTATTGTAAAGCCATAGTGTAAGAGAGAAAAGAGAAGACATGTGATCGCAGTTGAACCTGGGTCCACTATTATTCACTATTTTAGCGTTATTTTGGATAAGTGTAAATAAACAGAAGGTTTGATCTCAGTCTCATCAGTCACTCGTCTCAGCGCTGTATTTGTGTCTAACTCTACTAGTATCGGCTCCACAATAACTGGTTACCCTGGAGGGAATTGCCTTTATGCAAATGCTTGATTATTAGCTATTTGCATTCCTGAACTTAATGCTGAAGAGGGCAAACACATCCTAGACGCTAATAACGGCAGACTGGAGTTTAGTGCCTTTATCGATTATATCCTCCTTGTTTTTTGAGTGTATGTCCAGTAGGATGTGATACTGAACCCTTAATGCTAATAGTTGTGTGTCACTGTTAATATTAGTTTTCTATGGACCCCAATGTATAAAAAATAATAATTTTGTCATTTCAGTAAATGTAAATGTCTGTACTGTTACAGAATGATGGCTTTTGAATAAAAGTGTGGCAAGATACGTCCTGAATTGATAAAGATAATCAGATTAGTGTTGGCCAATAGATCAGTGTGACCAAAATATTAGTGATTGATTGGCGACAAACTCATGTTACTGTACACACAGGTTTTGTAAATGTAAACCGGTAGGACAAAAAGGTCTTGGTTGATATCAAAAACACAATTAACTAGCAGTGTAATAAATGTTGTCTAAATAGACCTGGTGCTGTTAATTATGACAAATATTAATCAAATAACTATAGTGACTAAAGGAAGAAAAATACTTGAGGCAATGTTGACTTCATTGAGAAACACTTGAAGGCTGAATACATTTAATGTGTTTTTGATTACAGTATTTAGACTGTATTTCACATGTACTTATGTGCTATTATGAATAATTTGTGTTTCTGAAGACAGTATTAGCATATTTGTTGCATATTGAAGAAATAATTGGCTTCAGGAAGTGAAATTGAGAAACGAGTTCAGCCACAAACAGATGTGCAGATATAGCCTAGTGTCTCTGTTGCATAAGACGCTTTCACACTAATGTTACAGTCTCTGTAAATTGATTTCTAACAATTACAAGTGTTTCATCAGTTCACACATGATGTTTAAATGGTAAAATGTCTTTAAAAAGTATTTTCTGGATTAGTTTAGATGGCATTAATGTGTCTCAAAGTCTCGTGCAAGTGTCTCAGATCTTGAGTTATTCGTCACATTCATAAACTGCACTGCGCAATCTCTGCACTCATACTAATATCATTTTGTTTTGTAGGATATATATCATGAAGGTAAATTTAAATTCTGTTATTGTCTATTTTTATGCATGTTTGCCATATTGATATGCCCAGTATTTTCAATAATTAAAAAGTTCGGTAACACTTTATTTTAAGGTGCTTGTAATTAGCAGTAATTAACAGTTAATAAGACACTTATAAGACCTTATAAAATGCATATAAGATGCATATAAGCATTAACTAATGATAATAAATAAATTAAATTAAATAATAAATTTCTCAAGTATCAATACATTGCACTTTTAGAACAGCCGAACAAACATAAATGGTAACACAAACTCCCAGGCCCTAAAAAATTGACCTTCCCAAGAGGGAGTAGTTTCCCTGATCTCTTCAGGGCCTGGACCTTTAATTAACCCTTATATGAAGTAGTTAATGCTTATGCATCTTATAAGGTCTTATAAGTGTCTTATTAACTGTTAATTACTGCTTATTACAAGCACCTTAAAATAAAGTGTTACCAAAAGTTCTAATGATCTTATTTTCTAATTCTGTAATGTATGTTACATCATCTGTGCAGTATTAGTCCTAAATCATTTTTAATGTTAAATCCCTAACAGTCAGACTACAAAAGCTTATAAAGTTTCAAACCGAAATCATGGACAACTGTAAAAATAAAGTAGGTTTTTTTTTTATATCTTAGTTTTTACAATTAGCATAATTTACTGTGGACATGTTTCTAAACTAGGGAAACAGATAGTAGTGTAGTTTCTATTTGTTTCTGTGTCACTGTTTATACAGTGAAGAAGAAGTGACAGCACTCTTGTCCAATCAGATCCCCGGAGCAGAAGAACCGGTTGCCTAACTGCCTCTGAGCCAGCGAGCGGACACACATCTCCTACAGTACATCAGGAACGTCTACTCTTTTCCTTTCTGCTGTCATTTGTTCAGGCACTCAACAGATGGCACTGTTACACTGTGCTGAGCCCTTGAGGATAGCTGATACTGTAATACAGTAAATATCAGATGAAATGAATTACAAACAAGCTCTTCAGAAACCAACCTCAGTGAGCAATACTATTTAATTCAAGTTTTCATGGTCATTCATGTTATTCAGTGAACCTCCTCAGTGCATCTCGGTGTCACGTCTCGTGTGAATGAGCATCACCTGCTTCAGATACTGTCCTCATGACACAGCTAGTGTTTGTCTGCATGGCCCGAACAGAATAACACAGATTGGACTCTGAGATCATTGATGTGGGAGGGCCGCGGGTAATGGTGCTGGTAACATGAGTTTCGGCTGCCGTCTCTATTGGCAGAGGCCTGTGTTGACATGAAATGCGTCCGATGATGCGGTCTAGACACTGAGATTTCAGATATGTCTGTTACCGTTCGAGATATCAGATGCTTCCTCAAAAGTCGTCGACAGAGTTCAGTGGATGAACCGATTGAGATGTTTTTTATTTTTTTATATACTTTATGAGTTTCAAGACAACATAACAACAAAGCAAAGCAAAAGACAAAATCATCTTGAATAATAATATCCAGAAAAGACTCAAAAAAGAAAGAAAAAGGGTAAATAAAAGTGTGGCTTAACAAACCAATGAGAGTGCCAGTCTGCATGATTAACTGCGTTCACACGGTCTGTCATCTTTGATATGAAGAGTACAAAGTACCGTATTTTAGCAACTGTATGAAAGTGAATAGCACATACCAGGCACAATAAACATGAATATTGGTACAATATCCATCACATGACTAAACTTCTGTTATCGTTTTTAAATGCGTCCGTTTTGACAGTCCACACTACAATGCTAAAACAGCGTTTTCAAATTTATCCACTTTGAAGGGCGTTGTCAAAAAGCTTCGTTTTCATGAATATAAACGCGTGTTCTCAGTGTGGACGGAAGGCCAAAACGCAGAGCAAAAGATGACTTTTCAAACGGAAACGTATTAGTGTGGACAAGGCCTAAAACTTAGAAGAAAAAAACGTTTTTTATTTTTCCTAACTGACTAGCCGGTTGATGTGTGATTGTACCGGTGTAATGTGCGATTGTGTGTTGTAGCAGCGATGCAGGGCTGAAGGACGTGCTGTCGGACTGGGACTCAGACATGGACGCTGTGGACTTTCTTAAGGACTCAGATGTTCTCCACAATGGCAGCCGGAGTGACCATGAAGCGGCGCGGCGTCTGGCCCGACGGCTCTACCACCTCGAGGGCTTCCGGCGCTCCGATGTGGCCAAACACCTGGGCAAGAAGTGAGTGCTTTCAGACATACATTCAGTTCGGGGTTTTCCTCCTTTTTTTGATTGGATACCCGTTTTATAACCACAAACCAGAGGAATATGAAATCATTAGCCTCTAACTTGAATCCCAAGAACGACAACCTGCAGAAATGCATGTAGATGCTTGCTTTGAGTCTGATTGGTTGGCAGGTAGATTGGGGTTTGTTGACCACATTACACTTCTGTATCACTTCACCATGTTCTCTATGAATTCTCTCTGATAAAGCCACTGCAGAAACCAACTCATCGACCGTTTAACCACTGAACGAGTCCGGCATGTACCTTATGTTGCTAAGCCATCTTCTTAGTTAAGGGCACATCACATATTAATTGTTATTAAGGTAAATATGTTTTATTTGCAACCAGAGCATGATTTCTGCAGTTTAGAGCACAATTCAAAAAGGAATTACCATGAGCCAGGCAACGCTTGCTGTTGCACTTGCAGCATTAAAACGTAGCATGGCTAGCCTCGTGAGGTTAGCGTACCGATATAGCGCGACTCCGGCGAACCGAGGTCAATTCCCAGCTCGAGGTCCTTTACCAATCCTGTTCCCCTCTCTCTCTACCCCACGCTTTCCTGTCAACATCTCTACTGTCCTATCCAATAAAGGCACAGAAAGGCCAAAAGCATAACTAAAAAAATAAAATAATTGCATGTTTAAAAGCATTCCCAGGTCATCAATTTGCTCACACTAAAAGAGTGTGTAGGCACACAGTCCACATATTTATGCCAGATTTGTAAAAAATAAATTCCAAAGTTTGCGTAAAAAGTGGTGCATGAATGTTTCAATCAAATTGTTTTGGCGTACATTTACACTTCAGACGCCTGTAGTTTTTCATTCCTTGGCACAGTCAAGACTTTGACTTGCTCACTTGGGGTTTACCGAAAAATACATTAAGGCTTCATTTTTTTTACAGAATTGAAGCCCTCATTACTGCAGTATTACTCTGTAAAACTGCTTTGAAAAGAGCTATATATATAAATGCTGTGAATTTAATGTCAGAGGTGGGTCCAGTTGTGCATGTGTAAACCCAATTCACTGTATTCCCACTTGATTTTTAAACTGGCACAGCTCTGTCCATGCCTTTAAAACAAATCTGACACTGTATTTATATTTTCTTAACAAAGATCTTGTAACTACAAGCTGATTATAATGGGATTCATACACTGCATAGCCTGTATAAGAGCATTCAAAACAGCTTAATTTAAGTCATCTTCCAGTTTACTGCGGTAAACTGTGCTCAGTGTTTTCTCAGATATGGTTCTGTCAGATGTGTGTGTGAGCTCAGGTCAGTGACTGCACTGGAGCAGTTAAACACCCTCAGTCCTCTTAAAGAACGGCCCTCAGCCCTCACATTCTCACACAGATTTGAACATACAGGCACTCATCCATATTCATAAGCACTCTCAGTGCCAGACACGGTCCTCCAGAGGAGAGCATCATTACTCCAGTGTGCTCTCTAGCATCGCCTCCACAGCTGTCTCACTCTCATCCTGTCTCACTCTCCTGCTGTCTCACTCTCCTGCTGTCTGTAGACCATCACTGTCCACAGCATGATCTCATTCGGTCTCACTCTCCTTCTGTCTCACTCTCCTGCTGTCTCACTCTCCTGCTGTCTCACTCTCATCCTTTCTCACTCTCCTGCTGTCTCACTCTCCTGCTGTCTGTAGACCATCACTGTCCACAGCATGATCTCATTCTGTCTCACTCTCCTTCTGTCTCACTCTCCTGCTGTCTCACTCTCCTGCTGTCTCACTCTCCTTCTGTCTCACTCCCCTGCTGTCTCACTCTCCTGCTGTCTGTAGACCATCACTGTCCACAGCATGATCTCATTCTGTCTCACTCTCCTTCTGTCTCACTCTCCTGCTGTCTCACTCTCCTGCTGTCTCACTCTCCTGCTGTCTCACTCTCCTTCTGTCTCACTCCCCTGCTGTCTCACTCTCCTGCTGTCTGTAGACCATCACTGTCCACAGCATGATCTCATTCTGTCTCACTCTCCTTCTGTCTCACTCTCCTGCTGTCTCACTCTCCTGCTGTCTGACTCTCCTGCTGTCTCACTCTCCTGCTGTCTGACTCTCCTGCTGTCTCACTCTCCTGCTGCCTCACTCTCCTGCTGTCTCACTCTCCCGCTGTCTCACTCTCCTGCTGCCTCACTCTCCTGCTGTCTGTAGACCATCACTGTCCACAGCATGATCTCATTCTGTCTCACTCTCCTGCTGTCTCAATCTCCTGCTGTCTCACTCTCCTGCTGTCTCACTCTCCTGCTGCCTCACTCTCCTGCTGTCTCACTCTCCCGCTGTCTCACTCTCCTGCTGTCTCACTCTCCTGCTGTCTCAATCTCCTGCTGTCTCAATCTCCTGCTGCCTCACTCTCCTACTGTCTGTAGACCATCACTGTCCCCCAGCATGATCTCATTCTGTCTCACTCTCCTTCTGTCTCACTCTCCTGCTGTCTCACTCTCCTGCTGTCTGACTCTCCTGCTGTCTCACTCTCCTTCTGTCTCACTCTCGTGCTGCCTCACTTTCCTGCTGTCTGTAGACCATCACTGTCCCCCAGCATGATCTCATTCTGTCTCACTCTCCTGCTGTCTGTAGACCATCACTGTCCACAGCATGATCTCATTCTGTCTCACTCTCCTGCTGTCTCACTCTCCTGCTGCCTCACTCTCCTGCTGTCTCACTCTCCTGCTGTCTGTAGACCATCACTGTCCACAGCATGATCTCATTCTGTCTCACTCTCCTGCTGTCTGTAGACCATCACTGTCCACAGCATGATCTCATTCTGTCTCACTCTCCTGCTGTCTCACTCTCCTTCTGTCTCACTCCCCTGCTGTCTCACTCTCCTGCTGTCTGTAGACCATCACTGTCCACAGCATGATCTCATTCTGTCTCACTCTCCTGCTGTCTCACTCTCCTGCTGTCTCACTCTCCTGCTGTCTGACTGTCCTGCTGCCTCACTCTCCTGCTGTCTCACTCTCCTGCTGCCTCACTCTCCTGCTGTCTCACTCTCCTGCTGCCTCACTCTCCTGCTGTCTCACTCTCCTGCTGTCTCACTCTCCTGCTGCCTGCTGTCTCACTCTCCTGCTGCCTCACTCTCCTGCTGTCTCACTCTCCTGCTGCCTCACTCTCCTGCTGTCTCACTCTCCTGCTGTCTCACTCTCCTGCTGCCTCACTCTCCTGCTGCCTCACTCTCCTGCTGTCTCACTCTCCTGCTGCCTCACTCTCCTGCTGTCTCACTCTCCTGCTGTCTGTAGACCATCACTGTCCACAGCATGATCTCATTCTGTCTCACTCTCCTGCTGTCTGTAGACCATCACTGTCCATAGCATAAGCTCATCCTGTCTCACTCTCCTGCTGTCTGTAGACCATCACTGTCCACAGCATGATCTCATTCTGTCTCACTCTCCTGCTGTCTCACTCTCCTGCTGTCTGTAGACCATCACTGTCCACAGCATGATCTCATTCTGTCTCACTCTCCTGCTGTCTCAATCTCCTGCTGTCTCAATCTCCTGCTGTCTCACTCTCCTGCTGTCTGACTGTCCTGGTGCCTCACTCTCCTGCTGCCTCACTCTCCTGCTGTCTGACTGTCCTGCTGCCTCACTCTCCTGCTGTCTGACTGTCCTGCTGCCTCACTCTCCTGCTGCCTCACTCTCCTGCTGTCTGACTGTCCTGCTGCCTTACTCTCCTGCTGTCTCACTCTCCTGCTGTCTGACTGTCCTGGTGCCTTACTCTCCTGCTGTCTCACTCTCCTGCTGTCTGACTGTCCTGCTGTCTCACTCTCCTGCTGTCTCACTCTCCTGCTGCCTCACTCTCCTGCTGCCTTACGCTCCTGCTGCCTGACTGTCCTGCTGTCTCACTCTCCTGCTGCCTCACTCTCCTGCTGCCTCACTCTCCTGCTGCCTCACTCTCCTGCTGTCTCACTCTCCTGCTGTCTCACTCCCCTGCTGTCTCACTCTCCTGCTGCCTTACTCTCCTGCTGTCTCACTCTCCTGCTGCCTTACTGTCCTGCTGCCTTACTCTCCTGCTGTCTCACTCTCCTGCTGTCTCACTCTCCTGCTGCCTCACTCTCCTGCTGCCTCACTCTCCTGCTGCCTCACTCTCCTGCTGCCTCACTCTTCTGCTGTCTGACTGTCCTGCTGTCTAACTCTCCTGCTGTCTCACTCTCCTGCTGTCTGACTCTCCTGCTGCCTCACTCTCCTGCTGTCTCACTCTCCTGCTGTCTCACTCTCCCGCTGTCTCACTCTCCTGCTGCCTCACTCTCCTGCTGTCTGACTGTCCTGCTGTCTCACTCTCCTGCTGTCTCACTCTCCTGCTGTCTGACTCTCCTGCTGCCTCACTCTCCTGCTGTCTGACTGTCCTGCTGCCTTACTCTCCTGCTGTCTCACTCTCCTGCTGTCTCACTCTCCTGCTGCCTCACTCTCCTGCTGTCTCACTCTCCCGCTGTCTCACTCTCCTGCTGCCTCACTCTCCTGCTGTCTCACTCTCCTGCTGTCTGTAGACCATCACTGTCCACAGCATGATCTCATTCTGTCTCACTCTCCTGCTGTCTATAGACCATCACTGTCCACAGCATGATCTCATTCTGTCTCACTCTCCTGCTGTCTCAATCTCCTGCTGTCTCACTCTCCTGCTGTCTCACTCTCCTGCTGTCTCACTCTCCTGCTGTCTCACTCTCCTGCTGTCTCACTCTCCTGCTGTCTGACTGTCCTGCTGTCTCACTCTCCTGCTGCCTTACTCTCCTGCTGCCTTACTCTCCTGCTGTCTCACTCTCCTGCTGCCTTACTCTCCTGCTGTCTCACTCTCCTGCTGTCTCACTCTCCTGCTGCCTTACTCTCCTGCTGCCTCACTCTCCTGCTGCTGCCTCACTCTCCTGCTGCCTCACTCTCCTGCTGTCTCACTCTCCTGCTGTCTCACTCTCCTGCTGCCTCACTCTCCTGCTGCCTCACTCTCCTGCTGTCTCACTCTCCTGCTGTCTGACTGTCCTGCTGCCTCACTCTCCTGCTGTCTCACTCTCCTGCTGTCTGACTGTCCTGCTGCCTCACTCTCCTGCTGTCTCACTCTCCTGCTGTCTGACTGTCCTGCTGCCTTACTCTCCTGCTGTCTGACTGTCCTGCTGCCTTACTCTCCTGCTGCCTCACTCTCCTGCTGTCTGACTGTCCTGCTGCCTTACTCTCCTGCTGCCTCACTCTCCTGCTGTCTGACTGTCCTGCTGCCTCACTCTCCTGCTGTCTGACTGTCCTGCTGCCTTACTCTCCTGCTGCCTCACTCTCCTGCTGTCTCACTCTCCTGCTGTCTCACTCTCCTGCTGTCTGACTGTCCTGCTGCCTTACTCTCCTGCTGCCTCACTCTCCTGCTGTCTGACTGTCCTGCTGCCTTACTCTCCTGCTGCCTCACTCTCCTGCTGCCTCACTCTCCTGCTGTCTCACTCTCCTGCTGTCTGACTGTCCTGCTGCCTCACTCTCCTGCTGTCTCACTCTCCTGCTGTCTGACTGTCCTGCTGCCTCACTCTCCTGCTGTCTCACTCTCCTGCTGTCTGACTGTCCTGCTGCCTCACTCTCCTGCTGTCTCACTCTCCTGCTGTCTGACTGTCCTGCTGCCTCACTCTCCTGCTGCCTCACTCTCCTGCTGTCTCACTCTCCTGCTGTCTGACTGTCCTGCTGCCTTACTCTCCTGCTGTCTGACTGTCCTGCTTCCTTACTCTCCTGCTGCCTCACTCTCCTGCTGTCTGACTGTCCTGCTGCCTTACTCTCCTGCTGCCTCACTCTCCTGCTGTCTGACTGTCCTGCTGCCTCACTCTCCTGCTGTCTGACTGTCCTGCTGCCTCACTCTCCTGCTGTCTGACTGTCCTGCTGTCTCACTCTCCTGCTGTCTGACTGTCCTGCTGTCTGACTGTCCTGCTGCCTCACTCTCCTGCTGTCTCACTCTCCTGCTGTCTGACTGTCCTGCTGCCTCACTCTCCTGCTGCCTCACTCTCCTGCTGTCTCACTCTCCTGCTGTCTGACTGTCCTGCTGCCTTACTCTCCTGCTGTCTGACTGTCCTGCTGCCTTACTCTCCTGCTGCCTCACTCTCCTGCTGTCTGACTGTCCTGCTGCCTTACTCTCCTGCTGCCTCACTCTCCTGCTGTCTGACTGTCCTGCTGCCTCACTCTCCTGCTGTCTGACTGTCCTGCTGCCTCACTCTCCTGCTGTCTGACTGTCCTGCTGTCTCACTCTCCTGCTGCCTTACTCTCCTGCTGCCTCACTCTCCTGCTGTCTCACTCTCCTGCTGTCTCACTCTCCTGCTGTCTGACTGTCCTGCTGCCTTACTCTCCTGCTGCCTCACTCTCCTGCTGTCTGACTGTCCTGCTGCCTTACTCTCCTGCTGCCTCACTCTCCTGCTGTCTCACTCTCCTGCTGCCTCACTCTCCTGCTGTCTCACTCTCCTGCTGTCTCACTCTCCTGCTGCCTCACTCTCCTGCTGTCTCACTCTCCTGCTGTCTGACTGTCCTGCTGTCTCACTCTCCTGCTGCCTCACTCTCCTGCTGCCTTACTCCTGCTGCCTTACTCTCCTGCTGTCTCACTCTCCTGCTGCCTCACTCTCCTGCTGTCTCACTCTCCTGCTGTCTGACTGTCCTGCTGCCTTACTCTCCTGCTGCCTCACTCTCCTGCTGCCTCACTCTCCTGCTGTCTCACTCTCCTGCTGTCTGACTGTCCTGCTGCCTTACTCTCCTGCTGTCTGACTGTCCTGCTGCCTTACTCTCCTGCTGCCTTACTCTCCTGCTGTCTGACTGTCCTGCTGCCTTACTCTCCTGCTGCCTCACTCTCCTGCTGTCTCACTCTCCTGCTGTCTGACTGTCCTGCTGCCTTACTCTCCTGCTGTCTGACTGTCCTGCTGCCTTACTCTCCTGCTGCCTTACTCTCCTGCTGTCTGACTGTCCTGCTGCCTTACTCTCCTGCTGCCTCACTCTCCTGCTGTCTGACTGTCCTGCTGCCTCACTCTCCTGCTGTCTGACTGTCCTGCTGTCTCACTCTCCTGCTGTCTGACTGTCCTGCTGTCTGACTGTCCTGCTGCCTCACTCTCCTGCTGTCTCACTCTCCTGCTGTCTGACTGTCCTGCTGCCTCACTCTCCTGCTGCCTCACTCTCCTGCTGTCTCACTCTCCTGCTGTCTGACTGTCCTGCTGCCTTACTCTCCTGCTGTCTGACTGTCCTGCTGCCTTACTCTCCTGCTGCCTCACTCTCCTGCTGTCTGACTGTCCTGCTGCCTTACTCTCCTGCTGCCTCACTCTCCTGCTGTCTGACTGTCCTGCTGCCTCACTCTCCTGCTGTCTGACTGTCCTGCTGCCTCACTCTCCTGCTGTCTGACTGTCCTGCTGTCTCACTCTCCTGCTGCCTTACTCTCCTGCTGCCTCACTCTCCTGCTGTCTCACTCTCCTGCTGTCTCACTCTCCTGCTGTCTGACTGTCCTGCTGCCTTACTCTCCTGCTGCCTCACTCTCCTGCTGTCTGACTGTCCTGCTGCCTTACTCTCCTGCTGCCTCACTCTCCTGCTGTCTCAGTCTCCTGCTGCCTCACTCTCCTGCTGTCTCACTCTCCTGCTGTCTCACTCTCCTGCTGCCTCACTCTCCTGCTGTCTCACTCTCCTGCTGTCTGACTGTCCTGCTGTCTCACTCTCCTGCTGCCTCACTCTCCTGCTGCCTTACTCCTGCTGCCTTACTCTCCTGCTGTCTCACTCTCCTGCTGCCTCACTCTCCTGCTGTCTCACTCTCCTGCTGTCTGACTGTCCTGCTGCCTTACTCTCCTGCTGCCTCACTCTCCTGCTGCCTCACTCTCCTGCTGTCTCACTCTCCTGCTGTCTGACTGTCCTGCTGCCTTACTCTCCTGCTGTCTGACTGTCCTGCTGCCTTACTCTCCTGCTGCCTTACTCTCCTGCTGTCTGACTGTCCTGCTGCCTTACTCTCCTGCTGCCTCACTCTCCTGCTGTCTCACTCTCCTGCTGTCTGACTGTCCTGCTGCCTTACTCTCCTGCTGTCTGACTGTCCTGCTGCCTTACTCTCCTGCTGCCTTACTCTCCTGCTGTCTGACTGTCCTGCTGCCTTACTCTCCTGCTGCCTCACTCTCCTGCTGTCTGACTGTCCTGCTGCCTCACTCTCCTGCTGTCTGACTGTCCTGCTGCCTTACTCTCCTGCTGCCTCACTCTCCTGCTGTCTCACTCTCCTGCTGCCTCACTCTCCTGCTGCCTCACTCTCCTGCTGTCTGACTGTCCTGCTGCCTCACTCTTTTGCTGTCTCACTCTCCTGCTGTCTCACTCTCCTGCTGTCTCACTCTCCTGCTGTCTCACTCTCCTGCTGCCTCACTCTCCTGCTGTCTGACTGTCCTGCTGTCTCACTCTCCTGCTGCCTTACTCTCCTGCTGCCTCACTCTCCTGGTGTCTGTAGACCATCACTGTCCACAGCATGAGCTCTAATATCAGTATAAGGGAGATGCAGCAGTGGTCAGATCAAATGAGCAAGTCAAGTCATGAGTGCTGTAGAAACGCAAAAATTATGAAAAAGTGCAGTATATTCGCAACAATTTGCACTTCACAGTAAATTAAAAGTTAAAGTGTTTTAGTAGAGGATTGGAGAGTGATTAAAATGCAGGTTACCAACAGCAACAAGTTACCATACAAACTACAAGCCATACAAACATACACCCCCCCCCTCCCCCATTTAAGTTATTGGTACACTAAGCATCATGACTGAATATATTAATACCAATGCTTGGTAGCCTCTATATTTAAATTGGTCAAAAGGTGTGGGGACCCTGAATGTCAAACTCATTTACGTGTGCGTCTGGGAATGCATGTTTATGTAATCTGCTTACACTGCTGTGGTTTCTCTTGTGCAAACCTCTCCACTATAGAGGTGTGTCAGGGTAAAATAGTGTCTATTCAGGGTTGCTCATCATAAGCTAGTAGTGTAAAGCTCTGAACTTTACTAGATCTGATTTCTATGTCACTGATATTTCAGACGTACAGTCAGTGAGTATAAAAATATGTGATGTGTTATTATTGTGTCCAGTTGAATTGTTGCTAATGTTTTTTTGTTTTCTCTGTAGTAATGTAATATATTTCTTATGTTTGCATCCACAGTAATGACTTCAGCAAGATGGTTGCAGAAGAGTACCTCACATTCTTTGAGTTTACAGACCAGACATTGGACCAATCGCTCAGGTACGTCTCTTGTCATCATGGGGGTGATTCATCATCTGATGTGTGATTGACTGCATGCTTCACTGTTAAAGTGGAGCTCATTAGAAGTGGCTTTTATTTAATACATATTTCCATGTTAGGATTGCTGGATGGGATAACATTATATACCATGCATCAGTAAAATGCAAAGTGTGTCACAAGTGAGTGCTTCTAGTGTAGTGTAAGAGCAGTGATGCTGTAACTGAAGGCTGGTCACAGTTGCCAAGCAGCGTCTCCACTAATGTGCAGTCATACGGTCCATATCGCTGCTGGTTTGCAATGTCTAGAAATGTGCCTCATCTGGTTAAATGTTTACAGTCTTTTGTTTTTAACTCAAGTGTTAAATAGTACAAATGAGTTTTTCTCACAATGACGTCACTGATTACATATCTCTCTTGGTCCTCCAAAAAATCTAATCACATAAAATTTAATTTGTAATATCAAAAATATGAATAGTTGTGTAATAGATTAATACAATTTCCAGCAAAAATGCAATATTGTGATAGATACTGTTATATAAGATAAGTCATACTGCAATGTGATTTATAGAACATAGGTTTCAAAGTTGTGAAAGGAGTATGTGCTGTTTTTGCTGAAATCTTCATTGCTGTTTCAAGATCATCAATCAACATCTAGGCAACCAGGGCTTGACACCCGCCAACCCGCCTAATGCGTGTGTATTTCAGCAGCGGAGTTGGCTATATAAAACAGTATAATGGATCCGTGCGTCAGGTCTTAAAGCGACAGTAGCCTAATATACCGGCTGCCAAATTATAAGATAATATTAAAATATCTATATGGCCGGTTTTCCTTATGGGTATGTCAAAATTGTGGCCAGTGAAAATGCTGAGTGGCCAGTAACTTTGGAAAACCAGTAGCCACAGTGGCTGGCAGTGGTGGAATGTAACGAAGTACAAATACTTCGTTACTTTACTTAAGTAAATTTTTCACGTATCTGTACTTTACTTAAGTAGAATCAATAGTGCATACTTTTTACTTTTACTTCGTTACATTTTGCAGCAATTATTATACTTTCTACTCCACTACATTTCTACAACGTTCTGTTACATTTTCTGATCAGTTTTTCCTGATCAGAAAGTTCATTGCACGTTTCTGTCTCACCAGTGAAGTTTGGTTGCCATATATATATCAACCCGGTCACACTAAATGCGTCTCTATAGCACGCAATGTGTATATCGTGCAATTTATACACAAAAATTAGTTTTTACATGCATAGGAAACGCATTGGTAGGTTTAGTAGTGATGTGGATTTGTGTGTATTATACGTTTGGTTAGGGTTAGTATGGCAAGCCAAGAGGTTCAGAATTACGCCATAAATGAATCGCGTTTACAGCCAAACGCCGTCATATACAGCGTTTTAACATAATATGTGTGTTTATATTAGGGCTGCAACAAACGATTATTTTGATAATCGATTAATCTAACGATTATTAGAATGATTAATCGACTAATCGTCGATTAGTTCGCAGACTAATCAGTAAGTTTGGAACGATTATTCAGCTTTTCCAATTAGTTAAAACATTGAGTTATACATATTCTAATTATAATATAAAAAAAGAAAATCACTTCAGCTTTTGAAATAGTTGTTTTAATGAACTTTGAGCCAACTAAACAGGTCATTCTCTTTAAGTTTTCAGATTTCGGTCCAACTCAAATCACACACAAATGCTCTGTAAGCATTGTTTAATAGGCCCACTGCTTTTCTTAGAACTGAAACAGAAAAAGGGACATTTACTTCAGGACACAAAGAATGGTAAAATATTAATCTGCAAACAATTATTATAATTATAAAATTACAATCTTTTTTTACATGACAATTGAGCTGACAGAGACGTTCTCATTCACCTTTTAATTTATAGTATGATAAAGTAACTGCCATGATATTCTTCCTATATCATAGGAAGGATATAACATCTCGTTTTGTAAGTCTTCATGATTATTGAACAAAATACAGGCAAGTGATAAGACTATAATAATACCTAATATACTAATAGTGTTACAATAATAAAAACAGCCCTGACTCCTAAGCTCGATCAAGCTTTATTCTATACAAAATAAGTCATCACATTACTGTAATTATATTACTATTGATAATATTATTACTATTATTAGTAGTATTGCATTCTCTAATAAAGAGAGATGTACCGCTGGTTAACGTTAGTAGGCTAAGCTCCAGCTGGAGAACACTCACTTCTCACCGGCTCCTCTTTTGCCGGGATGTTTCCTCTTGCACTCCAACATGCATGTTGTGCTCCCGTGAAAATTGCACACGACAGCATTCTTGATTTGAAGTTTTGTGAAACTTTCCCAAACCTAAACCTTGCTAGTTCGGATTCGTTTGCACTGTCATAATTCGCGCTGTTTTCTCTTCTACCGCAATAGGCCTTTATCGCATCACGATAGAACGCCGGAAGTAGCCGTCAAAAATAGCTGAAGCAGTGTACTGCGTCTTCCGGTTATTGCGTTCGAAATGGCTGCCTGTAATCGCTGGACAACTTCGCTCTCGCATCTCCCAAAAGTTGGCCAAGACGATGTGGTGCGAATCATCCAAGTTGGAGAAGGGATACAAGTTCTTCTACGAGAATTTTGTCTTCAATTATAGAGGTAAGTAGCTTGAATTCTGTTCTGTTGGCGAGTTATCGCTAGCTTGTTATGTTTAGTAAGCTATTCGTCAGCTTGTTACTAGCTAGATAGGTTCACTTCAAATACAGCGTATCCTATTTGAATAATTCGAACAATGTGACTTTTTTGCTTTCACTTGATGGATTTCATCAGATTTACAGTTTGGATCCAGACAGTGCTACAGTAACGTTACCAAATTACCCCAAACTTGTAATGTGTAGTGAATAGAGCATGGTTTCAGACCTACAAAGGTTCAGGTGCATTTGTTCAGTATGTTTTTGTTTCTTCTGCTGTTGCGGATGCTCTTTTTTGTTGTTCCATATAGCCTATCTGCTGTTGCAGATCTGTACCTTTTTTTTTTTCGGCTGTTGCCTTGATTTTGTTCAACCTAGTTTTACAATAATGTTCCTAGTGTCAAACAAATGCTAATTACTGTAGGCTAAACATCCAAACTTTCCCTCAAGTATATGTTCTCCATTTCTAGATTGTGCTGCATGCCGTTAGACCTGTGGAGTTAAATGGATGCTCCTGCTCGTGTGCTGCTGGAATGGCTTTATGCAACCATGTGGTTGGACTCCTGTTTCAAACGGCTCACTACAGCACCATGGGGCTGAAAACTGTGCCAACCCCACTGTCCTGCACCGGTGTGCTTCAATCATGGCACCGTCCAAGGACACAGGTAAGTTTGTCTAATGCAAGTTGTGTCTTTAAAGTTTGTAAGTGCACACTGTTGGAATACTGATTCTGGTGTAGATGTTTCTACACAGTGTATACATATCCTACACCTCATCCATATGAATTGTTCACTTCACATGGTAATATAAGATTTGTCTGGGTCCCTCAGATATAGCCATACATGCAATTCTAGAATTACTCACACATCACATTTCAGTATACATTTGTTTCCTTCTATTTTGCAGAGCAGCGGTTGCCTGCATAGGATGTACACCTACAATATGACTTGTGTGCTGAATTAAACTGATACTCTCTCAGACTTGCAACTGAATTTAATTTCTTTTTGTGTTGATGCAGGGGATTCGTCCCGAACCCACGGATGAACTCGTGGTACGAAAGCCAAAGGCGCTAGGACGCAGTAGTGTCAAATCTACTCTGTATCGCGCTTACGCTGGTAAGTTTTAATTACGGTAATTTACTTATAGACTTTTATCACGGCAGAATTGATTACTGGAAGTGCTCGTCGAAGCAGTGTATCGATTCTTCCGGTTATGTATTTTCAATGTGCTTTTGTTAACATCTAGTTGAATAAACGCCTCTGAAAATTTGTAAATCATCCTGCGGGTGTTCATTTTAAGAGACAGGAGAAGAGATTTTTTGATGATTACTGTGTACATGATTTTTCAAACTCAAAGGAACTTGTAGGTTTTTAATCTAACATAAGCCATGGCTCTTAAACATGCGTGAAAATTTCACCCCACGTCAGTGCTCGTCTAAATAGTGACCACAACGCTGCAGTGTGTGAGCACTGATGAATTAGGGGTTGAACGACTTCAGATTTTTTTTAAGTCGACTGTTATGACATCAAAGTCGAGTCGACGTCGACTAGTCGATGACGTCATTCATAAAAACAAGAGATGGGACTGCTTTGCAACATGCCACAATTTGCAATTAATTAACAGAAAATTATACAGATGCTGACAGACAGCTCATAATGGGGCCGTTTACACCTGGTCACTTCATGTTTTTTTTACTGATCTGATTTATCAAAACGATGCTATTTAGCCTACACCTGGTCACATAAATATGTTTTCGCAAAACAGATATAAATCCGATCTTCAAACAACGCGCTATCGATTTAACGTCACGTCAGTTCACGTCACCGAAAGCAACAATAATGAGCTGCATTTTATTGATCATCAGCTAATTTCAAAATCAAAGACCGCAATAAGAGAGACAGCACTGGTAAGATCATTTCTGTTTCTTTACTTTTAATGAAGATGATTGTGTGTTAAGCGCACTGATCTATATAGAATGACATTATATAGATCAGTGGTTAAGCGTCTGTGACCTACTTTCACTTTGATTTGCGATAGTTTGCACGTTGTTGGCTTGATGAATAGATGCTCGAGCTGCTCATCTGCGGCGATGCGTGTTGCCATAGCTTCATCACTATAATACGCTCTCACACGTTTATTTTTAGCATTGTTGGGAGAAGTCCAATTTACAAATGTGGTTTCAACAACCAGATGCATTTACACTTGTCCACTTTCGTCTGTTAAGCGGCCCAGACCTCCTCCTGAAGCGGTTTGAGCGATCGGATTTAAATCCGTCTCGAGTGCGTTTCGGAGGGCATTTACACCTGGTCTTTTCACGATCGGATATAGCTATCAGATCACAGAAACACATGAAGTGCCCTGGTGTAAACAGCCCGCAGTTACATCATCATTTAGGATGAAAAGAAAAGGAAAAAAGCTATAAATTCACATCTGTGCCTTAGTGATGCGCAGATCCAAGTAATACAAAATAATATTCCAACTAACTGCGGGTGAATTAGCTACATCATTAATATGTTTAAATAAATAAATGAATTTTTTTTTTTTTTTTAATGATTTTAATAAAGATACTGGACTCTCATTTCCGGTAGTGAGCGTGCGTCATGCTTTTACTTTCGTTTTCAACAATATCTAGTGTTAGGTTAGTAAAGTATTTACACACATTTGATGTACCAATGCTGCTTTCTTGCTGCAATGAAATTCAAAGTTTAGGATTGTAAATTCAGTATGAAATATCAGTAAGAAAAAAACGCTGTTAATGAGAAGGCGAGCACTGGACTTCGTCCGGTTAGTTTGGAAATAAATGTATGTATTAATCAGAATGCGCATTTGAAAGGGAAATATATTTACAGGAGGAACATTTCAACTAGTTGAAGATATAACGTAAACATCCTTAGCGCCGCGTCTAGGACAACTCGAGGTATCACACACCAGATGTGTACTTTCTCAGTTTATGGCCAGCAATATTGTTGTTTAAGCACATTATGGAATTAAGATAATGTCTGTACTATGTTATGATTAAACCTGAATCCGATTATTCATTATTATTACTATTGCTGAAAGTCCGATAACATCAGCAATTTTTAAATGAGAACATACAGTTAGTTCTTTATATCAGATTAGCTACACTGTCGCTTGTAAATCATTGGCAGTTATTAACTGATGAATGGTTTCTGTTACTTGTGTTTTTAGGACCCCTTCCTGACCCGACGGTGTTGTCAGTTGGAGCCCAACTACGCAACCATCAGCCACAACCTGGCATTTGCAAATTCTTATACGGCCTCTCTGAACTGACTTTAGTGGACTCTAAATTTCTACTAGTCCCTCGAGGTTCAGTTCTTTCTTATCAGTGCACAGTGCACACCAGTAATACCTCGAGAAATCATTAAGCATCCAGAAGCTCCCTCATTCCCACAACTTCCATTAATTAGTGGCTTAACATTAGAACGGCATCTACATTTTGTCCCCAATTGTCATCAGTTTTATCACATACAGAGTTTAGAACTAACCCGTGAATGTGCAAGTATCATCGAAGAGAATACAAGGGGGCAGTCGGAGAATCCTTTGTGGAAGGAAGTCCGACAGCCCCGCCTCACTTCCAGTAGATTCGGCGAAGTTTGTAGCGTTAGAGGGGAGTCATCTAGTCAGGCTCTGGCAGCCAGGATCATAAAGGGGGTAAGGCAAACACCTGCCATGAAAAGGGGTATTGACCTTGAGCCAGAAGTTTTACAACAGTACAGTGACCGTTGCAATGTCAGTGTCGCTCCTTCTGGATTCGTTGTGAATCCTGATGCGCCTTACCTCGGTGCTAGCCCTGATGCCAAAGTGTATGATCTCACTGCAAATCCACCCTTTGGGTTAGCTGAAGTGAAATGCCCAGATGTTAACAGTATAACAGGTTACACATGTGAAGTTTATTGGTGGTCAGGCCAAACTAAAAAAAAATCACAAGTATTTCTGGCAAGTGCAAGGCCAGTTAGCCATAACTGGTTTAAAATGGTGTGATTTCATTACATCCACACAAAGTGACCTCACAGTAGAGCGAATTTGGCTCGACGAGTCGCTGATCAGTGAAATGAAAGGTAAACTTGATATATTTTATTTTGCCACATATATGGAAACGTACCTGAAACTAAAGTAACTCCATACATCCCCCCCACCACACACACACACACACAAATGGGATCTCTTTCTGATTTTATTTATGGAACGGACATACCTACTCTCTAATCATCACCACCACCACATGCATGTGCGCACGTACGCACACACAAACATACACACACGCAAATGTTCCCACACACTTGTACTTAATCGATTAATTAATTGTTTTAATTGTAAATTAAATGTATATAAATGTAATATGAGTGTCTGATTTTTTTTAGTGTATAAATGTTATGTTATTGTATTAATTTTCACATAATTTGTTTTATTTTTTATAATAGATGTATATATGTCATGCTATATATATATATAAATAAATAATAAATGCTGTGTCATGTTTTAATGCAATAAAATGAAACCAAACAAATCTGAATCATTCATCTTATGCCTATAGCAGAGTCGCTATTCTGAAACTCTTCAACTAACGTTACTTCAAAACGCGCATTAACCCGATCGAAAACTGACTGGCGAAGCCACACGAGTCTCCCCCCAGCTGTTCCACGAAAATCGGCTTGGTGTAGTACCGGATTTTAGTCTCTTCCCCCCACTTTTCGAGACGTAAATGCTTTCCTTGTCAAAGTGCAAGCTGCAGTGCACACAAACGTACTACCCCGACTTCTCTGAAACGAAGGACCTTCGTCCCTCCTTATCAATCTCACCCAAGCCTTGCGGAGGTGTTCGTCTTTTGGGAAGTCATGGAAGCTAAGGTATGGCTGTTATGTCTTTGTTTTGATGTTGAACAACCCGGTACACTGCAATAGCACCGGCGAGAGGAGGCAGCCATAGTTTATCTGTTAACCACCGGAAGTGCGAGTACACTGCTTGGCGATTTCGAACGTTCCAAACCAGGAAATGCGATAAAGGCCTATAGCATTTGTAAGGGCTGCACTACACTCTAGCGCTACAGCGCCGTAGCGGTCAAATCGCGGGATTGCAGGCCCTTACATTAGGTCACGTGAGATCAAACGACTACTCGACAACAAAGATATTTGTCGACAAATTTTTATTGTCGACATTGTCGACAACGTCGACTAATCGTTGCAGCCCTAGTTTATATATATGTATATATATATACTGAATATAGTAAGGGTATATAGTAAGCTTGATGTGTATATTGCCTAATTGCAAGCTTGTTCAGAAATGGTGACAAAAACTTAAAATATAACTGCTTTTCCATCATATTGAACATCATTATATTAGTATTAGGTTGAATGAGTTAGAATGAACTGTTTTATTAATCATTAGAATATAGACATTAAGAGAATAAATTGTTATGCAAGTACTTTTACTTGTAATACTTAAAGTACATTTAAAATCAGGTACTTTTTACTTAAGTAGGGTTGTCATTGTGGTACTTCTACTTTTACTAAAGTAAATATGTCTCTGGTTATTTGTACTTTTACTTAAGTACTGAGATTCAGTACTTCCTCCACCACTGGTGGCTGGTGAGCAAAAAAGTTAATTCCAAGCCCTGTAGGCAACAAAAAAAATGATGAAGATTATTGTGTTGTTTAAAAAAGTCTATTTTTATTATTGTTATAAAGTTACTTTAGGTCAGTGCCGGATCACAGGTCAGGAGTTAGTTCAGATAATCAGCCAGTGTTCACAAACTTTCTCATTCATCTGTTTGTGTGCTCCTGCCCACACACATCGCTCCTGTTTTCTGCTGTGATTGGGGCATCATGTTGGTGTGTCTTGTGATGGTCATGTTATATTGCTGTTTTTCTGTTGCAGATGTTTTCTGAAAGCATTCTCACTAATGGGCGAGACTCAGGAGAGGGAGCGGGTGTTAATTCATTTCTCTAATCGGTATTACCAGTGCAACCCCACCGTCATCACTGCACAAGGTACTGCATGTCCACCTCATGCACTCACTACTTACAAGATTAGTATTTCAAATCAGGATGAGAATATGTGGTGCAGACGTTCACTTTGTGTTTGTGTCCTGATCACCCAGCTGGAGTTTATTTCACTATACTGACTGTGACTGTACATTATGCTGCTTATTGCATGGCTACCTGCCAAATAATAGATAAATGGATATTGATATGAGTTGAAATGAATAATGCAAGAATAGGAGAGGGTGTTATTCCAGTTAAAATGTTAAACAGATATTGATAAACGGTTTCATTTCAACGTTCATGACTGTAGTAAATCTGTGTATAAATTTGTGATAATTTCTTCTATTGCATTTCCATAAAAATGTGTATATTATGATATATATTGTTATGAACTGTATTTTAAGATTATCGTGATACATATATTTGGTAACACTTTAGTTTAGGGTCCAATTCTCTCTATTAACTAGTTGCTTATTATCATGCATATTACTAGGATATTGTCTGTTTATTAGCACTTATAAAGCACATATTAATGCTTTATTCTGCATGACCATATCATACATCCCATAATCCACCCAATACCTAAACTTAACAACTACCTTACTAACTATTAATAAGCAGTAATTAGGAGTTTATTGAGGCTAAAGTCATAGTTAACAGTGAGAATTGGACCCTAAACTAAAGTGTGACCACATATTTTGTCTTTCTTATGAGAGAAGAAAGAGAGTGCGGAGTAACACAAAATACATGAAACTAGCTGGACTATTTCAGTGTTTAATGTTTTGGCATATAGAATTCGCTCCATATGAAATATTGTGGTTTTGCACAACATTAGTTTTCTGTTCGACAAGTCAAATCAGTTTAAATCCTCTCTTGACTAATTCTCCATAAAGCATGATTGAGTCTAATCACTCATTCAGTATCACAGTGTTGCGTTTCCTCCATAGCAACCATCTTAGTAACCGCTATGACCAGTATATGGGTAAAAAGCTAAACCATCTCCTTGTTGCTAAGACTGTTGCCATGGAAGTGATGTTAGATTTTCTCCTGATGCAGAGATGCATATGTGTGTGTGATATCAGAAGTCATGATAAAAATAATGTTCTGTCTGTTTGACCTGTGAGTGAGTGTGTTGATGATGTTTCATTGATGCTTGCAGATGGAGTTCATTGCCTTACCTGTGCGCTAATGCTGCTCAACACTGACCTTCATGGCCATGTAAGTGACCTCTGACCCTCTGGTAGGGTTGCTCGTATTAGCAGATAAATGAGAAGTGACAGTTTGTTCCCTCTTTGCCACAAGCACATGAAACTAGACGCCGTTTGACCTTCTCAGCGGATGTAAAGATCCCACTGGAGGAGGATATGTCTGTGTTATATTTACTCAAAATTAGCTTTTGGGGGAGAGTGCATCAAGGATGTCAGATTTTGTGATTTATTTAATTATCTGTGATCAGATATTGAAGGGGAAACCTGTCAAATCTGCAGCTGGTTGTAACCACAGGAAGAAAACAAAAAGAAATGATTCGGGTATGTGCCATTGGTAACTACAGTGAAGGAACGAGAAAGTTTCGCACCCCCCACTACTTCCTAAGTGAAATGTGAGGTGCATTGTGGGTACTCTAAGAATAGCTCCTCTCATTGGTCTCCATGGAGTTTGATCATGTGTCTTGGAGTTGGTTCGACACATTCAGTAGGACGCATGTGCCGTGGAGATCTGATGCCCACGCCGCAGCACTTCTCGAGACGCATTCATTTCAAACATTGTTTGGTTTGGTGTCATGTGGGTGAATGCAGCTGAACGCTGCGCAGCCGCGGATCTGTGCAGAGATGTATGCCAGACACCCACACACACATACACGACTGCGCTCGCGGAGGGAAGCGTTGTGCACATCACACAGGTTATATGAGACGGAGCAGGGAATCTCCTCGAAGCCTGTCCAGGGCCCATTAAACCTTAAAAAAGATAAAGTTTAAGATTAAAGAAGATATTTGTGTTATAAAATAAAACAAACTTATTTTGTTGAACCATTTTTAGCTTTAAGGTCAATTAGATTGCGCTCAGACTGCTGGAGAAATGCCCCAAATCTGATTTTCTTCTCTCTCAGACCACATGGGATCTGATCTTTGAGGCTGCGTTCACACTGCGAGTCTTAGTGCTCGTTGTATACAACTTATTTTGTTGTATAGCTGTTTCACATTGTTGTTTTAAATGTGGCCTATATCAGATTCCAGTGTGAACAGATCCTGGTCCTGGACTGACCAGAGCGATGAAACGCGTCACGCAGCTCGCTGTCATACGGAAGCAAACACAGAGGACATTAAAGTGAGCGATTACGCATTTATTCATAGGGTGATCCGCCGCGGGAGCCAGCAAATCTATGCACAGGCAATATAAAACACAAAGACGAGGGTGAGAGAAAAAGTTTATAATGTTTTGCTTGTAGAGCTTTCACTATACTACTTATGAGTTCTGACACTTCACTGTCCTTCACTTGACTACCTTTTGCAAGTGTTTTGATAACGTCGGGTGTGTAAAATGTTTGAAGTGACTCCCATGAGCAGAACTGTGGCGAATCTTGATCTAGAGTGGCGCAAAAGTCACATGATTTCCAATATGACTGTTCAGACTGCGGTCACATTGCAAAGCATCTGACCTGTATTGGATTTAGTGCCACATACGGAAGTTGCACAAATCTGATTGAAAAGATCCGATTCCACGTAGTTTGTGCCTTGTTTACACTGTCAGTGAAATGTGACCTTATTCTGATGTTTTGCTCATATGTGACACAGATCGCATGTGTTCTCTGACCGTGTGAACAGCTAAATAATGCATGCATTCGGATATTTCGAGATCGGTTTCAGGGCTCATTCATATGTGGAAATAAATCAGATATGTGCCATTGCGACTCATGTAAATGGGCAGATCGGATTTTCTGAGGCATTAGGCTAGTCTCCGCGGTTTAATGACGAGAGCAACCCCGACGTGCATCTGCAAAGGGACGGACGGCCCGACCAAACGTCATGTCGCCGTAGGAGTGGAGTGTGGACACACGTTGACACAACATATCAAAGGTTGGCTTGCTCATCTTAAAATTTCGGACCCACTGTTCCTCGTTAAAGCCCGCCACAATATGCTCCCGCCAGTCCTGAGGTCTCTCTCGCACACAGTAACTGAAGCACATACACAGGCAAACTTTGCAGATATATCGCAGAGCTAGCATCAAGCATATTTGGCGTTCGTCCATCTGTGCAAGAACCCCCTTTAAGCATGCGCGATGTTTCAGATAGTATGGCAAGTGTAATCACATGACTCGGATATGGGTCACAATTGAAATAACGTTTAAACAGACGGTAAAAAAAATCAGATATAGGCAACAAATGAGAATTGGGCATCAAGACCTGCAGTGAAACGAGGCCACTGTCATGACAAAACCAGATCTGAGTCACATGAGAGCAGAACAATCAGATTTGGGCCACATTTACCCGCAGTCTGAACGAAGCCATTCTGATATTTTACATCACTCTAGAGCAACGTTCATCACAATTCTGCGCTCATGGGAGTCACTCCAAAGATTTGCCACACCGGTAGTTCTTTAGTCACTGGTTTAATAAGGAAGACGGCAGTGAAGTTAGTCAGTGAAAACTCTCTCTCTTTCTCCTCATCCTCAGCTCAGTCCTCCTCATAGCCTGCGCATGTGTTCGTGGACTTCTGCGGCACATCAGCTTATAGGTGAGCCCGTAAGACTGACTTCAGTCAGCTCAGTGCTTGCTTCCGCAGGACAGCGGGCTGCACACACTCTTGTTATTGTTTTCCCGGGAACGTGACCTGTTCAAACTCAAAGCTGATGCAGATCTGAGCAGTTCATCAGGACTGAGCGCTAAGGCTCGCGGTGTGAACATAGCTTTACTGTACTCCTGAAAGCTGTCAGAATGGACTCCAGAGATCCAGATGTTTGTTCACTCGTGCTCATGTGTCCAGTGGCAAACAGCGGTGACATGACTGAAGCCTCTTTGGTATTTCCCGACCTAACGTCCTGTTTCAACGGTGCATTACACTACCATTCAAAAGTCTGCAGTCAGTAAGAGTTTTTGTTTTTAAATTAATACTTTTGTTCAGCAAAGAATGATTAAAATTGATTAAAAATAGTAAAGATATTTCCATTGTTATGAAAAATTTCTAAAGAAATTGTTTATTTGAATGGTTTCCAGAAAAATATGAATCAGCACAACTGTTTTCAACATTGATAATAATCAGAAATGTTTCTTCATCATCAGATCATCATATTAGAGTGATTTCTGAAGGATTATGTGACACTGAAGACTGGAGTAATGATGCTGAAAACTCAGAATAAATGACATTTTACTATATATTCACATAGAAAACAGCATTATTAAATTGTAATAATATTTCACAATATTCTTGATGTAATTCTTGATCCCATAAATGCAGCCGTGATGAGCATAAAATAAAAAACAGTGTACGTCAATACAGGAAAACAAAACCGCACTCATTTCTTTTTATTAGGGCATTGTTTGTGACCGGACAATTAACTGCATTTTCCCATAATGCAATTTCATTACACTTACTGTAAAACGTAATGGGACTCATCCTTTATGAGAACAATGTTTTTTTAGTAACAAATATCATTCAGTATAACAAATGCTAACATGATTCATTCAGAATGAAATAAAATATGAGATAGCCCTTTCTTGCATTACAGTAATGAGAATTAAACCCTTTGCCTTGTATTTATGAGTATGGTATATGGTGACTGGGCAGGACTCAAATGTTTCTTTTAAGAATGATTTATTGTCCTTGCAACATAGTGACTTTGCTGACTTTGTGATCTGTGCATTGCAGATCCATGCCGAATCGCACAGAAAGAGAGCAATAGCTATTAGAGTGATGGATGACGCGAGGCGATCGCGCCGTCGTGATGAAACCGCAGTGCGAGATCTTGTGGAGTCGTGTTTTTGGAAGCAGCCTGTGTGTCTCTCTTTGATTTCTCGTGCCAGTCTGAACATTTGTCAGTGCCATCCACCTACAAACTCGGCTGGTGCTGGCAGGAACAGTAAAGTCAGTGCAACAAACACCGTCTGCGCTTTATTTTAGAAGCCAGTCTTTCTCATGACTTTATAAAAGCAGCAATCCGAGAAATCACGGTTCTGACAGAGTAATTGCAGACGTGATTGTCTAATAGCAGCAGTCAGTGTATGTGGTTACTGTAGGCGCTTGTGAGAAGCCTGAAGCTCACTGTAAACGCTGAGTTATATCGCAGACGGCTCATGTGGTGAGATGCAGCTCTGGACATGAAGAAGGCATAGCAGCGGGTGTAGAACTGAACCGTTTGTTTGTTTCTGCGGGATCTGTCATACAGCGCTGGTATGAAATTAGTTTGGTGCTTATCTATTTTTGTACTTTTGCTTTCTCACAGAACACGTTTGTCACGTATTGTAGAAAGTCTGCGTTCACACGGCAGCAGAATGCGGTTGTCGGTCCTGTATTTGAGTCTTTAATACGGTTAGGTTCACACACAGTTCAGATATTCACGGGAAGGGCACCCGCTTTCTATAACCGAACTCACACCTGGACATTTTCAGGACTGACAACAGTATTCTAGGAAAACCCGTGCTGTGTGTACAGAACCGGCCTGACATCTGGGTCTGTCAGCATTCAAGACGCTACTGTAAGTCTCTGTTTGAACGGGACATTTAGGCTACGTTCACACTGTCAGTCCAAATCAGATTATTTGTGTATCCGATTGTAATCCGATCTAAAATGATTGACTCACTGTGTACCGCAACTGTTCAGGTCCTAGTTGTGTGTCCATGCAGCGCTCTCGTTTTCGGGAATATCTGCATTGGTTTCTGTGGCATTGAAGTTGCGTTGGTAGGAATACGCCAAAAACAACAACAATCGCACCATGGAGGGGTTTGCAATAGAGATGTGGTCTTATTTAAATGTAACAACATGTAAATGTGCAGCTGTGCACTGGACTATGTGTCCTGAGTCGCATCACGAGGCTGGCGTGAGCTGTGCTGTCGTCTCCGCCGGTCTCAAAACACGTCTCCGCTATATTGTCATTTTCTGCTGTTTAGCACTTCCCAGCAACACAACCTTGTTTCTGCAGTGACTTTCAGCAGTTTCACATAATAACGCCTCACGTTTATGTTTTACGTGGCGTGAGAAAGTCACATAAACTACACGAAATCCGACCAGAGCGGTCAGACTGAAACGGATCTCCAGAAATGCGCATATGGATGTAGCTCGAAACGGATTTGTAAAAATCGCATTTCATTTTCATGTGATTTTATCATTTATTGCTGTTCACAATAACTCATTCTCATCAGATTTCAAGCGGATATGCACAAAAATCAGATTTGGACTGACAGCCTGAACGTAGCCTTTAGAGACTCACACCTGTAAGTAAAAGCGGTGGTCAATCCCAGAAACAGAGGCACTTTTCATTGGATAGTTGATGCTCTAACATAATGCAAACTGTTTTAGTGATTCAATGAATAGTTACATTTTTATTATTAAATGTTTTATATAAAAACATTCCAAAAATAATATGTATGTACACAAACTGTAAAAAGAGCAAATATTTATGGGCCGTCAGTAATGACTCACTCATTAGTGAGCGATTACACAGTACAGTTAAATAATATTATGTTATTAGATCAGATCAGTTCCGGCGCTGTAATTGATATTGTTAATCCTGTGCGTTATGTTAAAGACGTCGCCTCCTCCACAGAGTTTAGTCCACCGCTTCAGTCCGTGGATCATTGCATGAGCTTCCCACTGTATGATGTCAGACATTCATTTATAAATAACCTTTATAAAGCTTTGCATCCATCAAGTTACACATGCGCAGAGAAAGATATCAAATAATATCAAGTACTTTTCATTTGCAAAGCTATTTATTGAATTATCCAAAAAGAGGCATTAATACATACACACCACCGTTCAAAGGTTTGGGGTCTATATTTTTCTCTTAATGTTTTTGAAAGAAGTCTCTTTTGCTCACCAAGGCTGCATTTATCTGATCAAACATATATGATCAAAATTATTTGACTCAAAGTATCTGTTGTCTATGTTAATATATAGTAGTGTAATGTATTCCTGTGATCAAAGCTGAGTTTTCAGCATCATTACTCCAGTCTTCAGTGTCACATGATCCTCCAGAAATCACTCTAATATGATGATCTGATGCTCAAATATGATCATTATGATCCGCTGCTTCATATTTCTGTGGAAACTATGACACTTTGTTCAGAATAGTTTATAACATGATGTTATTTTTATTGTCACTTTGATCAGTTTAATAGATCCTTACTGAATAAAAGTATTAATTTCTTTCTTTCTTTTTTAGATCTTACGCTAGTGTGTTTAAAATATAAACCGTTTTAGATTGAACCTCCAGCAAAGACAACTACATAGTGATAAATACTGTGATATAAGATCTCATATGGCTCCTTATTTTACATGGCAGATTCTCTCCTGTAAATGTGATGAGAGAGCAGGACTGGCTGATTCACCGTGGATCTGCTCCGGTCCCGTCAGCCTCACAGGCTCACATCAGTGCCATCCTGTCCCATTAACAGACCAATAAATGTTTCTCATGCCCCACAGAATATTGGGAAGAAGATGACATGCCAGGAATTCATCAATAACCTGGAAGGACTCAACGAAGGACAAGATTTCCCCCGGGAGCTGCTGAAGGTAAGACTCAAACACTTCTCCCAGCATTCCTCTGTGAGATCACGTGTGCAAGGACGCATTACATTACAAACCCATGTGATGGATACAGAAAACCTCAAAATGGAAATCAGCTTCTCCGGGTCCGCGGAGCCCGTGATATTCCATAACACACAATGCCGTCTACTTTCCCCTGCTTTCAGAAGATCATCTGATCCTTACTAATCAATCACCATCACCCTGATGTTTGCACACCTGATACAGGTTCAGGACCAAAGCGCTCTTGCCTTGGATTCATTAGTAATGCATGCTGTTATTGGAGACCGACAGGGGCGTTTGGAGGCTTTACCTAATGCAGCAGGATGGTTAAAAGTGAAAACTAAAGTAAAAATACAAATATAGTTTATAGTTTATGTACATTTTCAGATCTTGAGTTGTTTGTGATGGTAAGTAACGCTCACACAGATTTAAATGTATGCATTTGGCAGGTGCTAATCTAAAGCTTTCGACGTTACGTTGTTGTTTGAGCTACAGGAACAACCAAAGTAGCAGTAGATCAACACAAATGAATACAAACTGTTATTAAACCATAGTAACTAAAAACAATTTACAAGCTTTTTAAAGAAAAAAATAATGCCCTGAATTGAATTATAATCCACAAATATAACTTGTAATTTATTAAATGCATAGGAGGGTTAGTCACAGGCTGGCTTAAACGGGTGTCATATGTAGAAATGAGAAGGCCTTGTTATTAGCGACACCGGTGGCCGTTGAGTGAACTGCAGTCAGCTGCTTATTCCTCGCGCTCACGAGACTGAACGTGATTCAAGACCCTTATATACTCAGTACAAACTTTTTCGTTCTTTGTTTAGAAGTAAAAGTTAGAAATACCTTTAACAAACATCCCGACGCCGCCAACGATGCTGAGAGCGACGTTTAGATGAATATGTGCTGTGTGCTTTCCTCAATAACAAGATAAACAACAGCATGGCAGCGCTGAGAAACAGCAGTTCAGAAAGCATCTGATCATAGTGATGAGGATATGATTGAACCAGCTTTGAGATTCACCGGCATCATGTCGACAGACCAGGTCATTCAAATTACACTGTTACGATAGTTGATTATAAAGTATAATTAAGACTGTGGACTATATAGATCTGGCTATGTGAGACTATAGTTTGAATTAATTCCTTTTCTCTGCATGACACAGTACAGAACGGCTCTTTCTGCATTATCCTGAACATCAGCTTTCGGTTCATGTGTCACTGAACAGAAGAGGCTCTCAGGAGCGTAAACGTCACGTCCTTTAGATTAAAATCAGTCTACAGGCTTTCATACACACCCGAGGGACTCTGGGAAGGTCTCGGTTTCTTTCTTTCTTTGCCAGAGGATGCTTAGATATTGCCACTTATTTCGGCACATGGTCAGAATGTTGCCATGACCAAGTAAAAAATGTAGGTGTTTGTTTTGTTTGACCGAGAGCTGAAATTTGATGAGCAGTTTAATGCTGTAGTTAAGAGTTGCTTTTTCCAGGTTAGGTCTATTGCTTGTTTAAAGCCGATTCTGTTGGGAAACGATTGCAATGTTTTGTATGTAGGGTCCTGTCAGACCACTATATCACGCTTGCAATTAGATCCGAATGCTGAGAAAAGTCCTCGTATTTCTCTATTTTCGCTTCTCTCAGGGATTTCAGGATAAAATATAGACCTCTGCTGTATGTTTTTACAGCAGTGCATGATGGGATAGCTCCTGCTCATGTATCTGAGCTCATTGCTCTTCATCAAGCACCTAGGTCTTTACGTTCAGATAATAAATCATTGCTTCCTGTCCCTCGATCTGATTTGAGGTTAAAGGCCTGTGCCGTCGCGGGTCCGAGGCTTTGGAATAGTCTGCCTCTTGAACTTAGAGAGATCACATCTTTAAATGTTTTTAAAGCTCGTTTTAAAAATGCTTGTTACTTCTGCGCCTTCGAGAGGTTGGGCTAGTATCTGTGTTAGTAAGTTGTATGTTGTTTATATGTTTTATAAGGGTGCTCCGATTGATCGGCCGATAATTGCTTTGGGATGTGTGATCGGCGGTCTCTATAAAGGCCGATCCAGAAAAGCCGATCAGATGACGCAAAACTCGCGAGACAATTTTTTTTCGCCCTGGTAAAAATGGCTTCACCGGTTTGGCAATTCTACAACAGGGCTCTCAAGTGTCAAGCATTGAGCGTGACAGTCACTCATTTCGGTCTTTTGTCACGCTCTCCCGCCACACATTGTATTTCTAACGCTGAAACTATTTGTAATATATTTAATATGCCGCAGCGGCCAAAACTCTGGCCGCGCCGCTCTCACTGTGGAACCGGCATGAATCAAGTGCGTTTCCACTGGTGTTGTTCGTCGAGCTACACAATAGCCAATCAGAAAATAGCACTATTACAGTTATATCAAGCAAGGATACGTTTGTGTTTTATTTTGTGATTACACCGGAATGAATAGAGTCCGCAACGGCGATAGATTGAAGTGCGCGTCCGAGTGAAGACTGCGCGAGGCACAGAGCACTGTATCCATGACACTGATCGCCGCGGACACGAGCGCGCAGCTTGAGTTCAAAAACACATTTTAGCGCTAGATTTCTTATTTAATAGCGAACTAAATGAATGATCTGCTAGTTAACTGAAGATGTTTTATTTATTTATATTAGCTACATGGTGGGACAGACTTCACTGGATCTAAAAAAAATCAGTCTAACCATAGATGTGACCAGTAGTGGTGGCTTTCTATGGAAGCAAATAAGAGACATAACTATTTGAAATTTAACAGCCACTGAATACTTAGTTTTGAAATATTTTATTTTGAAAAACCTTAATCTGAATTTATTTCCTCTGAATTCACCCCATTGGAATTATTTTACTTTGGAAACCATGTATCTGAATTTATCTGTTCATTTGTTTTGTTTAAAAACTTGAATTTCGATTTTAATATTTTTCAATGCTCACAAATTCAGATAAAAAAAAAAATCAACTTACAGAATTTCAGATAAAATAGATTCAGGTTGATCAAATTCGACTGCTCAAATTCAGATCGAAAAATTCAAGTTAAATATTCACATGGTAACATCCGGGCTACCCAGGATAGGAAAAACAGCTGAGCCTGTGTAGAGACAGAGCGTATTTAAGCCACGCCCAAAGCGGGGCGAAACAATCCAATCGTCTCCATTGACTTTGCATTGCGAGAGGCTGCCTCCTTATAATAACATATAACAAAAGACAGAAAAATGCATAAAAGCTGCTGTGTGACAAGGTGTTCAGCAAATAAGCTAAAAAAACACACAACAGAAATACAGTTTTATAAGCTTCCGAACCGGTAAAGCCAGCCTTTAAGGAGACAAAAGTAGATAGGCTTCAGGCAATAAGACGTGAAGCATCAGCATGAAGAATGGGTACATTTAATATATCTCCTCTTCTCAGGTTCACATAGGGTGGTGAAATAAGCAATCGACATGGTTAAAATTATGAATTTTTTTTTTTTTTTACAATATCATGTCGCGTTCCAGTGCTATATGGGGAGGCTGGGCGTAGTTCTCTCAGAGTAGTTCGAGAAATAGTTGCGCTCTTTCTCAATTGATCCACTTTTATGTCCTGAAAAACAAACCGTTTTTGGGGTCGACAGCGTATAAAAATAATTTCTGGGTTATTTTGCTTGTTTGCTGTACACCTTGTCTCACAACAGCTTTTAGACATTGTTTTGTTTTTTGTGTCATAAATGACAAGGAGGCAGCCTCTCGCAATGCAAATCAATAGAGACGGTTGGATTGCTTTCCCCCCGGTGTGGGCGTGGCCTATCCTGGGTAGCCCGGATGTTACCATGTGAATATTTAACTTGAATTTTTCGATCTGAATTTGAGCAGTTGAATTTGATCAACCTGAATCTATTTTATCTGAAATTCTGTAAGTTGATTTTTTTTTTGTATCTGAATTTGTGAGCATTGAAAAATATTAAAATCGATATTCAGGTTTTTAAACAAAACAAATAAACAAATAAATTCAGATACATGGTTTCCAAAGTAAAATAATTCCAATGGGGTGAATTCAGAGGAAATAAATTCAGATAAATGTTTTTCAAAATAAAATATTTCAAAACTAAGTATTCAGTGGCTGTTAAATTTCAAATAGTTATGTCTCTTATTTGCTTCCATAGCTTTCTTAATCTGTTTAAAATAATTTTGCAAGGGTCCTTCACACACACACACACACACACACACACACACACACACACACACACACACACACACACACACACACACACACACACACACACACACACACACACACACACACAAAAGGTTTCTCTACCTCTCTCTTCCTCTCTAAATGCCCACAAAATCTGACTAAGCATCCCAGAAAAAAGCAAAGTTATAGATGCAGATATGGAAGTTGTTAGTTTTTTTTTTTTTTTTTTTGCTGTGCACTTTACTCCCTGTGGTCCTTTAGGTGTATTAGAAAAACTGATGGCTGACTGACTCAGATTAATTTTAAAGCTAAATTTAAAGACTCAGATGTTCTGTCTTTTATTAATTTTATTTTATATTCTACAGGAAAGTTGTATGTCAAGCCCTAAGCTGCTCCCAATAACCAAGCTGCTATGTTAATACATGTTGCTTGCAAATAAATACACAGGTGTCAATTCATGATGCATTGTCTTCTCTTAAATGTAATACTTAATGTACATTGTTGTTAAATATAGTTTAATAAGTAATGCTACATGATAAAAAGAAGTCTTCAAATAGACCCTGTAATCGGTAGGGTTGGGTACCGAAACTCGGTGCCAATAGGGAACCGGTTCCGACGTAAACGGTAGTAACCAGACCGAATAAGAACGAAAATTTCGGTGCCTGATTTCGGTGCCTAACTTCATTAGGCACACACGCGCGCACACACACACACACACACAAGGTCTCTCGCTCGCTCTCTCTCCGCCGTGCGTGTGCTACACAGTTTGGAGCACAGTTTCTTCTGTCTCGCATGCGCGCTCTTTCTC